GATTTGGCGTGGCATGTGCCGTGTGCTCACCGGATCCCAATTTCACATTTACAAGCATGAAGGACTCAGGAGCAGCGCTGCTAACCTCATTTCTTACTCCATTTCGGTGCTGGCTGTGTCTCGGGACGCTTCCCTGCTCCTTAAACGGGATGAAGTTCCCAACCCCTCCTCTGTTGTGTCTGCTCGCTTCGAGAAGGCCAAGCAACAGATACGTGTCATGATTCTTGTGTTCCCCTCGTCTTGTGTTATTTCCTGTTTTGTAGTCCTTTGTAGTTTTTCTTGTTGATTAGTTCCTGATTGTTCCCAGGTGAGTCTTGCAGCGCCTCATCAACCACAAACTGTATGCCGAAGCGGAAAAGTGTGAGATCCATCAATCCTCAATTCCCTTCCTCGGTTACATCATCAGTCCTGAAGGAGTGTCTACGGATGTGGGAAACGTACGAGCGGTTCTAAGTTGGCCTCAATCCACTACAGTAAAAAAACTACAAAGGACTACAAAAAATGGCACAGAACAGGAAATAACACAAGTCCACAAAAGACAAGGGGAACACAAGACGGGGATCATGACACATATAACTATCGGCGTAAAGTTTATCAAGATCTGAACAACCTGTAAAACTGCAGTTTGGTTAGTTTTGAGCTGATGTTTAGGGGACATTAGAGTCCTTGTGGTAAATGATTAAACTACAGGTACGTTTTATAAACCCTGTTATACCATGGTCTGGGTGAATACTCGATTCTGATTGGCTGCAGGGTGTCCATTAAAAAGTGATCGAGGACACCTAGTAAAGGAGTTCTGGTGAAACTGAATGTTTACCGTTCAAAATTAATTAATAAATGCGCTGGCTACATCAGCTGTGAGTAACCATAGCAACAGGCAGTCAAAGTATCCGGTTACAAGTTATTGTATCAAAACAAACATCTAGTTAGCCGTTATACATAGCCTACTAATACAACAATGAGCGAAAAAATAATAACTATGCCTACCTGTGTTTTAATTATAGGTTAAAAAAAACGAAAGTGTAACGCCCATGGCTAGACAAGCCGAACTTACATGAACAAAAAAATACGTGAACTTTCTGGCTAGTAAGTTAGCTAAACTGAAGGGTTCTCCGAGCTGAGCGGACTATAAATATCTCCGGTTGCTAAATAAACCGTCAGGCGTAACCAGGGAAACCAAGTTATTGTTTGTAAAAACTTTAGATTTCGATTGTAAAACTAATTAAAATATAAACTAATGTTTTAAAAATGTGTTATTTGGCAAGTGACCATGGTATAAGCGGGTTAATGCCCTTCGAGGTGTCCATTGTTTAGGTATTAATGGACTCCGCTGCGTGTCGGACGGTTCACGCCTCGCCATCGTCCATTAATACCTGACAATGGACACCTCGTCGGGCATTAACCCTTACTCACCCTTACTCAGAGGACAAATTACCAATAGGGATGTATCAACTCACTTACTCGTACTCTAGTTTCCTTCTTCTGTGGAGAAGGATGTTGATAACCAGTTGACGGTAGCCGTTGACTTACATAGTAGGGAAAAAATACTATGGAAGTTAATGGCTACCGTCAGTTGTTTTATTACCAACATTCTTCAAAATATCTTCTTTTGTGTTCAACAGAAGAAGCAGGTTTGGAACAACATGAGGGTGAGTAAGTCAAGTCAAGCCAATGTAGATTGTTTCAAAGCAGCTTTACAGAGATAAACTTAATATAATTTAAGGTAACAGAGATTGGTTTGGTTTTATAGCGGTTCTTGAATAATGTTATTTTCCAGCTAAAGTTAGTTTTGATTGATTTACTTCCGTTGAAATTATCATTTGTTATTAAATTAGGGGCCGCTAAGATGACACCGTTCTCTCTAAACAGACTTTAAACTGAACCTGTGATAAACGCTGATGGCGTTCACATGCGCATTAAGAGTTGATTCTATAGTTATGTGCGTTTGAATATATGTGCGCAGGTTTGTAAGTGATGACAGCATTTTCATGTTTGGGACTGTCTCTTTAAAACAGGCTATGGTCAGTTATATCCTGTCAATCACAAGGAGGCGGAGAACGTGTCAGACTGCATGAATTTGAATTGAATTTGAATTGAATTGAATTTAGCGCTGTTTATGTGACAATAATGCATTAACAGTTGAACATGTTATGTTAAAGCAGGCTTTATTCGAGCCTATGAATCACCTGTAGTTTAAGCCAGGGTTTTTCCCTACATCAATCATCATTTGTAGCGTCTCCCGTCCAATAATTATGAAGAGCTTTGTGCTCGGTTACTTCTAATAAGAAACAAAGTCTCAGCTTTCAAATTATCTCCATTTTATCATGAAAGTCAAACAATAAATGGCGTTTTGATGCTCTTAAATGCGAGTCATCTCTTCCAATTTAATACAAGTTGTTACACCACAAAAGAAACATGAATGAACATTAGAAGGTATGTTGAAAGAAATGTGTCTTGTCTCCTGTAATCACTCGATCAGTGTTTCAACCGCGGAAAGACGTCAATAAAACAGCTTGAGAACAATGTGCCACTTAACGTTGCATTTACATCTGGAAAGTTATACAAAGTTCACAGCTATAAAAAAAACACTAGCTTATTTACTGTTAATGATACATGTATCGAATAAATCTGTCCATGAAGACGATGTGCAACTGAGTTGTATACAAGCATTTCATATTTTATTTGAGTGTAATTATTAGCCTATATCTGAAAAATAGCAGTTGAATGTAAAAGTTTGGGCTCTGTTGTTCTTTTAACCTCTAATATTATAGTTATGGACCAAATGAGAGGATTTCCTGTATAGTTTACAGCATTCATTTGAAGAGATTATTTTTACTAAAGAAAAGCAAATTATGTGTATCGGCAGATATCATTCTGTATAATCGGCTATCGTATCGGCGGAAAATCTTTAATTATTAACACATTTTGTATTATTCTGAAGGATTTCTTTGATCATAATGTCACACTTTTTTGATTACTTGAATCAACTGATCATTTCATTTTAAATGCCATGCTTTTATAGTCGTCAACGGAGGGAAAAACACTTTCGACTCAATTACACAAATTGTATCTAAACACTGTCACAATATTCTGACAAATATTGTTCCTTGTAGACCGAAAGTCTTGTGTTATTAGTTATTATGAGTCTCTAAGTCATGTCTCAAGTCTATGAAAGCTTTTCTGCCATGCAATACAAATATAAAAAAGGTAACTGCGAATTTTTTATCTCACAATTTTGACTTTTTACACAATTGTGAGTTTATATCTCATAAGTTTGGGATTTGGGATTCTGAGTTTGCATCTCTGAATTGTATAATTTTTTTTAGACACCTGACCGGACCACATGCACAATTCTGAGGAAGAAAGTCTGAAATGTGAGATATAATCGTACAATTTTGAGAAAAAAAAAAAAATCTTTTTGATATTATTATTCTGTGGTGGAAACAAGCTTCCATACAAATCAGTTTGATTGTCAGTTGTCAAGTCAACTTTTAAGCACAAAACGATCTTTGTTCCTGGTTGACTGATCCAAACCTGTGAGCCTCAATTCTGGAAACTTATTTTACAGTCTGATAATAGTCGTTTTCACGGGTACTTTGCAGTGTGTGTGCACAATGCATTAGACAGACCGAGTGAACAGGCCGAGTAATGCCTCTACATACGGTATTGCAATAAGAGGATAGCATTAAAGCTACAACAACTGATCAATAATGATAGTCAACACTAAGTTGCATGACTAATTAGTTGGGTCTGTGTACTATTGCATAGAGAACCTTCACTAGTAATACAAACAAACATTTCCATTGGGGAAAAAAGCCACAGGACAAGCAGATTTTTGTCCTTTAGATTAAGTTGTCTGAAACTTTTATAATAAATGCATCAATGAGGGTAATAAACATAGTTTCATGAGCCCATATTGAGGCCAATTAATGTCATTAATTTGTGATATAATGAGTTTTGCCATTACTGAATAGCACACTACTCATATACAAAAAATATGGGAGAAAAATGACGAGTCATACGCAATGCTATTTTAAATTTCGCTGATAACAGAAATTTGAGCAGAAATGTTGATTAAAGTTTGTTGTTGAGCAGTAAAATTACCGTATTTAATAGAAAATACATAAAACAACCTACATAAAACAAAAAATATATATTTTTCAGTTGTAGAATAACATGTTTCTCTCATAAAATAAGGAAATATATATATTACAATTTGACTGCTGATTGTTTTTAAATAATTGAAGGAAATAGTTGTCAGATTAAACAATTCCCGAAATATTGGTTGCAACCCTAGAAAAGGCTTAAAAAGTTACATATTTTTCATAAAACAAGGAAATATATATTTTTAAAATCTGACCACTGAAGATTTTCTAAAACCTATTGAAAGAAATAATAGTCAGATTAATCAAATTGGATCCCTAGATGGAATATTAACATTGTCTGCTACCAATTTAATATTCCCAATCCATAAAACAGGACTCTCAATGTTACTATGGTTCTGTGTCAGACTCGACATGAATGGAGACTTAATTGAAGCTCAATGCACTCTCTCATGTCAAATACTTCACTTCCTGTTTTAATGAGATTTTTAATTAGCATGTTAATTGTCTAATGAGTGTGTGGCAAGATAGCCGGCTAATGGGAGTAGAAAAATCCAGACGTGATGGTGTAGTAATACGTCTGAACTGTGTTTAGTCCATACAGATGAGCCTGAGGTCGCCTAGAGCACATCCACACACACACACACACACACACACACACAGCTCAGGAAGTCTTCACCTTGCGAAAGGACGCGAGCAGCCTGTGCTTTATGGCTTGTCACACTTTTATACGACGCGTGATGGAGGTGTGACCTTCAGACCCAGCCGCTCCATCCTTATCTCTCGCTTTCCCTCTCTGTCTGCTGTTCCCGTTCTCTTCTCTCCATCACTCAGCCTCAGTCTCGGCTCTCCTGACGTTGGTCTGAGGGTGTGATCTGTTGTTTTTGTTGTTCACAGTCAGATCTACTGCATTGAGAACGCTCACGGGCAGCTGGTGCGTGACTTGGACTTCAACCCGAACAAGCAGTATTACCTGTCCAGCTGTGGAGACGACTGTAAAGTCAAGTTCTGGGACGTGCGTCACATCAACGAGCCCGTCAAGAGTCTGGAGGAGCACTCGCACTGGTTAGACGAGCAGAAACACACTCGAACACACTGCAGCACTGCTACAGCGAGTCTGAACATGTACACCTAATACCAGTCAGAAGTTTGGAATAATTCAGATTAATTAAGAAATAATATTATATTAAAATGTAATTTATTCCTGTGATCAAAGCTGTATTTACAGCATCATTACTCCAGTCTTCAGTGTCACATGATCCTTCAGAAATCACTCTAATAGGATGATTTAGTGGTGATTTTTTCTGTGTTTTTTGGAAACCGTGACACTTTTTGGGGGGGGGGGGTTCTTTGATAAATAGTAAATTCGAAAGAACTTCCTATTAAATGTTGAAAACAGTTTTTGCTCCTTAATATTTTTGTTTCTTGAGCACCAAATCAGCATATTAGAATGATTTCTGAAAGGAAAATATTTTTTTTTAATATATATATATATATATATACATAAATACATACATATATATATATATATACAGTATATATATATACAAATTTGAATATCGTGCAAAAGTTCATTTATTTTAGTAATTCAACTTAAAAGGTGAAACTAATATGTTATATAGACTCATTACATGCAAAGTGAGATATTTCAAGCCTTTATTTGTTATAATTGTGATGATTATGGATGACAGCTATGAAAAACTTTTCACAATATTCTAATTTTTAATTTGAGGTTTTCATAAGTTGTAAGCCATAATCATCAAAATTATAACAAAGGCTTGAAATATCTCACTTTGCATGTAATGAGTCTATAAAATATATATGTTTCACCTTTTAAGTTGGATTACTGAAATAAATTAACTTCTCCACGATATTCTAATTTTTCGAGTTTCACCTGTATATTTTCAGACTTACCGTTTTTTTATATTTTTTTATAACATTTTTGTATAAGGCAACGTATGTTACATAATACAGACAAACTCAGGAAAAAAGTGTACTGTACAGGTGAAACTCGAAAAATTTGAATATCGTGCAAAAACTCATTTATTTCAGTAATTTAACTTAAAAGGTGAAACTAATAAATTACATTCAAAGTGAGATATTCCAAGCCTTTATTTGTTATAATTTTGTTGATTATGGATCAACAAATCAAATGAAACTTATGAAAACCCCAAATTCAAAATTAGAATATTGTGAAAAGGTTTTCATATATATTGTATTTCTTATTAAATATATATAAAGTACACTACCATTCAACAGTTTTGGGTCAGTATTTTTTTTTTTCTATTTTTAAGAAAGAAGTTAATAGTTTTATTCAGCGAGGATGCATTAAAATGAGCCAAATTGACAGTAAAGACATACCGGTAATATTACAAAAGATTTTTTATTTCAAATAAATGCAGTTTTTTTAACTTTCTATTGATCAAAGAATCATGGTTGAAACAAAAATTTTATAGTAACCAAATAAATAAAAAAAGCAGCTCTAAGCAGCTCTAAATCATCATATTAGAGTGATTTCTGAAGGATCATGTGACACTGAAGACTGGAGTAATGATGCTGAATATATATATATACAGGGCTTGACATTAACACCCGCCAACCCGCCAAATGCGGGTGCATTTCACCCGTGGCGGGTAACACAGTCACTCTCACTAGCCACTTTGGCGTGTTGAAGATTTGTAGTCTTGTCAAAGGACATCTGACATAACAAACGAATTGCAATTTGACACTATGCCACTACCACTCCCATGAGTACCACCTGCACATAGTTTAGTGTTTGCTCATTGGTCCATTCGTGAATCCTCTTGAACGACAACACTGCAAACAAGAAGACACGCGGAGATTAAACTCGCGGACTGTGCGACGAACTGGGCTGTTTTAGTCTGCCCTTAATTATCAACTTAATGTGATGATATAGCGATCTTTTTTTAATAGCAGGAGAATCCAGACCACCGGCGTGTCTCACGCTCTCCTGCAGTGCCGCTGCGCGAGGGTGCGCGCGCCAAACGAACGATCATCACACGCGACTGGTCGCATACACACACACATCAACACAGCGTTCAGTCAGTTCGTGAGTGTGCATGGCCGGTATTAAAGCAAAAATCATCTTCATGATTAAGGGCCACGGTGTAGGCCTAACTACTAGCAGGGCTGCCCTTATGTCACGTCATATCACAACTATCTTTCCAGAGTTAATTCTATGTTTTAATAAAATTAATCATGCCATGAAAGAAAGCAGGAGATGCGCTTGTGGGAATAATCTGGAAAATAAAGACCTGTAGGCCTATACTTGTTTCAGGTGGACATATCTCCAGTTACTCAGAGCTTCATGATGATAATTATTAAGTCAGAGCTCTGAGGAAAAGCTGATGCAAAACAAACAATCCAAAGTCCTATATAGTCCTATATAGCCTATATAAAGTTGTAATCCTGGTGCCTTAATTGTGGATTTTTTCTTTAAAATTATTATTTATTCTTTGCTCGTTGTTTCTAATGCAGATAATTGTTCTACTCTGTATTGCAGTATTTACTGCTGTAAAACAAAAAACAAACAAACAATGCAGCACTTTTATTATATACAATAAGAAGCTATTTTATGTGTGTATCTTAGACAACATGTTATCAAAAAAGGAGCTTAACAACCTTATCAGAGCTAATGATAATATTAGTTCATTTTAGCACGTTTTCAGCCCCATTGTCAATTTTAATCATATAAAACGTACAACAACAAAACTGTGGCTAGTAAAAATGCTGCGTGGCTAGTCATTTTGGAAAACCACTAGCCACATTGGCTAGTGAGCAAAAAAGTTAATGTCAAGCGCTGTATATATATATAATATATATATATATATACAGACACATATATAAAATGTATTTAGTTTTTAGCTGTCAACAAATGAGATTGTTCGGATTAATTTGTTGAAATGCTGCTTTTAAAACTCGCATGTCAAGGTCTGTGTGTGAGATCTCTATTAATTAGCTGTTGATTTATCTTATGTGGCTTACCTTTGCAGACACATTTATAACTGTATTGTAGTTACATCAAAGATAATCGTCTTTTTCATCAGGTTTGAGGCTCGATCTTTCACATCTCGCTTGAAACCGGCCAGTCAAAGCCTGCCATCCTGTGCTATTTTATCAGCTTCAACATGGTTATCTTAAATGTAAAAGACAGTATTTTAATTAGTGTGTGTATATCTAAGCTCTTACATCTTGCTGATGCTGTAGTTGTGTGTTATAGTGCTCAAGGGTGTGTTAGCGTAGCTCGTTTTAGCTCACTGCGGATCTATTTCAGTGTGTGTGTGATTGTGTGAGAGTATCTGCTCGTAGGTGTGACTCACTGGATATAATTGCCTCAGAATCAAACGTATCACTTTCCACACACACACACACACACACACACATCAAGGCATGATAGCATGTCAGCCACGGGATGCTATCTCTTAAAGATAGAGGCTTGGAGTCAATCAGAGATGTTTTGATCCTATTTAGATAGGTAAGATCCACAACAACCACGTCCCGCACATGTTTCTCATTTCTTGTGTTTGCCGCGACAGGGGTTCTGCTAAGCCTCGGGCTGGGAGGTATTAGGGAATATTTTGGGATCGGAGACAGATTAGTTAGGGAGAAGTCTTGACTGAGCCAGATTTTTACTGCTGACAGTTGAGTTATTCTCCCACAATCCCTGGCTATGAGGCTCGGATCCTCTTCTGAGCCTGAGGCTTATATAGAGGGAGGAGGAGAATAGAGAAGTAAGTCTGTGGGCCCTATCACACACTCGGTGCAATGCAGCGCCAGGCGCGACACAAGTGTGTTTCGCTAGTCTCAGCCCGACGCGGTTTTCATTTTCACGTCCTGCGCCACGTTGGGTAAATAGCAAATGCATTTGTGTGTTCAGGCGCATTGCTGCTATTTTGAGGAACTGAAATGGACTGAGCCATTGACCAACTGATTCCTGGTCTGAAGTCAATGGCGCAATATTTTTTTTATTTAAAGAGCGTGTTAGTAATGTGCGCCTATGGCGGGTCCACAACACACGTACACTCTGCTTATTACACACACACTCTGCTTATTACACACACACTCTGCTTACTACACACACACTCTGCTTACTACACACACACTCTGCTTATTACATACACACACACTCTGCTTACTACACACACACTCTGCTTACTACACACACACTCTGCTTATTACACACACACTCTGCTTATTACACACACACTCTGCTTACTACACACACACTCTGCTTATTACATACACACACACTCTGCTTATTACATACACACACTGCTTACTACACACACACTCTGCTTACTACACACACACTCTGCTTATTACACACACACTCTGCTTACTACACACACACTCTGCTTATTACATACACACACACTCTGCTTATTACATACACACACTGCTTACTACACACACACTCTGCTTACTACACACACACTCTGCTTATTACACACACACTCTGCTTACTACACACACACTCTGCTTATTACATACACACACACTCTGCTTATTACATACACACACTGCTTATTGGACACACACTCTGCTTATTACACACACACTCTGCTTACTACACACACACTTTGCTTACTACACACACACTCTGCTTATTACACACACACTCTGCTTACTACACACACACTCTGCTTACTACACACACACTCTGCTTATTACACACACACTCTGCTTACTACACACACACTCTGCTTACTACACACACACTCTGCTTATTACACACACACTCTGCTTATTACACACACTCTGCTTATTACACACACACTCTGCTTATTACACACACACACTGCTTACTACACACACACTCTGCTTACTACACACACACTCTGCTTATTACACACACACTCTGCTTATTACACACACTCTGCTTATTACACACACACTCTGCTTATTACACACACACACTGCTTACTACACACACACTCTGCTTACTACACACACACTCTGCTTATTACACACACACTCTGCTTATTACACACACTCTGCTTATTACACACACACACTGCTTACTACACACACACTCTGCTTACTACACACACACTCTGCTTATTACACACACACTCTGCTTATTACACACACACTCTGCTTATTACACACACACACTGCTTACTACACACACACTCTGCTTACTACACACACTCTCTGCTTACTACACACACACTCTGCTTATTACACACACACTCTGCTTATTACACACACTCTGCTTATTGCACACACACTCTGCTTATTACACACACACTCTGCTTATTACACACACACACTGCTTACTACACACACACTCTGCTTACTACACACACACTCTGCTTATTACACACACACTCTGCTTATTACACACACTCTGCTTATTACACACACACTCTGCTTATTACACACACACACTGCTTACTACACACACACTCTGCTTACTACACACACACACTGCTTATTACACACACACTCTGCTTACTACACACACTCTCTGCTTACTACACACACACTCTGCTTATTACACACACACTCTGCTTATTACACACACTCTGCTTATTGCACACACACTCTGCTTATTACACACACACTCTGCTTATTACACACACACACTGCTTACTACACACACACTCTGCTTACTACACACACACTGCTTATTACACACACACTCTGCTTACTACACACACACTCTGCTTACTACACACACACTGCTTATTACACACACTCTGCTTACTACACACACACTCTGCTTACTACACACACACTCTGCTTATTACACACACACTCTGCTTATTACACACACTCTGCTTATTACACACACACTCTGCTTATTACACACACACACTGCTTACTACACACACACTCTGCTTACTACACACACACTCTGCTTATTACACACACACTCTGCTTACTACACACACTCTCTGCTTACTACACACACACTCTGCTTATTACACACACACTCTGCTTATTACACACACTCTGCTTATTGCACACACACTCTGCTTATTACACACACACTCTGCTTATTACACACACACACTGCTTACTACACACACACTCTGCTTACTACACACACACTCTGCTTATTACACACACACTCTGCTTATTACACACACTCTGCTTATTACACACACACTCTGCTTATTACACACACACACTGCTTACTACACACACACTCTGCTTACTACACACACACTCTGCTTATTACACACACACTCTGCTTACTACACACACTCTCTGCTTACTACACACACACTCTGCTTATTACACACACACTCTGCTTATTACACACACTCTGCTTATTGCACACACACTCTGCTTATTACACACACACTCTGCTTATTACACACACACACTGCTTACTACACACACACTCTGCTTACTACACACACACTCTGCTTATTACACACACACTCTGCTTACTACACACACACTCTGCTTACTACACACACACTCTGCTTATTACACACACACTCTACTTATTACACACACACTCTGCTTACTACACACACACTCTGCTTACTACACACACACTCTGCTTACTACACACACACTCTGCTTATTACACACACACTCTACTTATTACACACACACTCTGCTTATTACACACACACTCTGCTTATTACACACACACTCTGCTTATTGCACACACACTCTGCTTATTACACACACACTCTGCTTACTACACACACACTCTGCTTATTACACACACACTCTGCTTATTGCACACACACTCTGCTTATTGCACACACACTCTGCTTATTGCACACACACTCTGCTTATTACACACACACTCTGCTTACTACACACACACACTCTGCTTACTACACACACACTCTGCTTATTACACACACACTGCTTATTACACACACACTCTGCTTATTGCACACACACTCTGCTTATTGCACACACACTCTGCTTATTGCACACACACTCTGCTTATTGCACACACACTCTGCTTATTGCACACACACTCTGCTTATTGCACACACACTCTGCTTATTACACACACACTCTGCTTATTACACACACACTCTGCTTATTGCACACACACTCTGCTTATTGCACACACACTCTGCTTATTGCACACACACTCTGCTTATTACACACACACTCTGCTTACTACACACACACTCTGCTTATTACACACACACTCTGCTTATTGCACACACACTCTGCTTATTGCACACACACTCTGCTTATTGCACACACACTCTGCTTATTACACACACACTCTGCTTATTGCACACACACTCTGCTTATTGCACACACACTCTGCTTATTGCACACACACTCTGCTTATTACACACACTCTCTGCTTATTACACACACACTCTGCTTATTACACACACACTTTGCTTATTGCACACACACTCTGCTTATTGCACACACACTCTGCTTATTGCACACACACTCTGCTTATTACACACACACTCTGCTTACTACACACACACTCTGCTTATTACACACACACTCTACTTACTACACACACACTCTGCTTATTACACACACACTCTGCTTATTGCACACACATTCTGCTTATTACACACACACTCGCTTTAAAGGGTTAGTTCACCCAGAAATGAAAATGATGTCATTAATGACTCTCCCTCATGTCGTTCCAAGCCCGTAAGACCTCCGTTCATCTTCGGGACACAGTTTAAGATATTTTACATTTAGTCCGAGAGCTTTCTGTCCCTCCATTGAAAATGTATGTACGGTATACTGTCCTTGTCCAGAAAGGAAATAAAGACATCATCAAAGTAGTCCATGTGACATCAGTGGGTTAGTTAGAGTGTTTTGAAGCATCGAAAATACATTTTGGTCCAAAAATAACAAAAACTATAGACAGTATACCGTACATACATTTTCAATGGAGGGACAGAAAGCTCTCGGACTAAATCTAAAATATCTTAAACTGTGTCCCGAAGATGAACGGTCTTACGGGCTTGGAACGACATGAGGGAGAGTCATTAATGACATACTTTTCATTTTTGGGTGAACTAACCCTTTAACCTCTCACACACACACACACAGCTTTAACCTCGTGCACAAGCAGATCTCTTTCCTCGCTAGAGAAGCGTTCAGTTTTTCCGCTTGTAAACTCCTCCATGTAAATAGCGAGCACAACTGGCTTTAAAGGGAATGGGAGATGAGACTCTGATTGGTTTATTGCACATTACGCCCAAAACACACCCATTACTCATTAAGAGAATAGGGACAACCCTTTTAGACCATGCGCCGGGAGCGCCGACCATTTTTCCCCTCGTTAAAATAGGGCCCTTAGCGCAGTAACGCAGAGGAAGAAGCAGCCGTGTTTGAAGAGGAGTGTGTCACGCTGTGGTGTGTGCTGTGCTGGTGTTTCAGGGTGTGGAGTGTGAGGTATAATCACTCTCATGACCAGCTGTTGCTCACGGGCAGCAGTGACAGCAGGGTGATCCTGTCCAACATGGTGTCCATCTCCTCCGAGCCGTTCGGACACCTGGTAGACGACGACGACCTCAGCGACACCGAGGAGAGCCAGCAGGAGGACAAGTACTCGTCCCTTTCTCATACTCTACCTTACACCTTTACATTCCTTTTCCCGTCCCCATATTTTCTATACTGAAATGTACACTCACCGGCCACTTTATTAGGTACACCTGTCCAACTGCTCGTTAACACTTAATTTCTAAGCAGCCAATCACATGGCGGCAACTCAGTGCATTTAGGCATGTAGACATGGTCAAGACAATCTCCTGCAGTTCAAACCGAGCATCAGTATGGGGAAGAAAGTTGATTTGAGTGACTTTGAACGTGGCATGATTGTTGGTGCCAGAAGGGCTGGTCTGAGTATTTCAGAAACTGCTAATCTACTGGGATTTTCACGCACAACCATCTCTAGGGTTTACAGAGAATGGTCCGAAAAAAGAAAAAACATCCAGTGAGCGGCAGTTCTGTGGGCGGAAATGCCTTGTTGATGCCAGAGGTCAGAGGAGAATGGCCAGACTGGTTCGAGCTGATAGAAGGGCAACAGTGACTGAAATAACCACTCGTTACAACCGAGGTATGCAGCAAAGCATTTGTGAAGCCACAACACGCACAACCTTGAGGCGGATGGGCTACAACAGCAGAAGACTCCACCGGGTACCACTCATCTCCACTACAAATAGGAAAAAGAGGCTACAATTTGCAAGAGCTCACCAAAATTGAACAGTTGAAGACTGGAAAAATGTTGCCTGGTCTGATGAGACTCGATTTCTGTTGAGACATTCAGATGTTAGAGTCAGAATTTGGCGTAAACAGAATGAGAACATGGAACCATCATGCCTTGTTACCACTGTGCAGGCTGGTGGTGGTGGTGTAATGGTGTGGGGGATGTTTTCCTGGCACACTTTAGGCCCCTTAGTGCCAATTGGGCATCGTTTAAATGCCACGGCCTACCTGAGCATTGTTTCTGACCATGTCCATCCCTTTATGGCCACCATGTACCCATCCTCTGATGGCTTCTTCCACCATGTCACAAAGCTCTAATCATTTCAAATTGGTTTCTTGAACATGACAATGAGTTCACTGTACTAAAATGGCCTCCACAGTCACCAGATCTCAACCCAATAGAGCATCTTTGGGATGTGGTGGAACGGGAGATTCGCATCATGGATGTGCAGCCGACAAATCTGCGGCAACTGTGTGATGCCATCATGTCAATATGGACCAAACTCCCTGAGGAATGCTTCCAGCACCTTGTTGAATCTATGCCACGAAGAATTGAGGCAGTTCTGAAGGCAAAAGGGGGTCCAACCCGTTACTAGCATGGGGTACCTAATAAAGTGGCCGGTGAGTGTATTATGTAATTAATTCAATTAAATTCAGTTTAGTTCAGTAGTTTTGAGCCCCGGTTTAATTCAATAAAATCAAATGAACTACATTAGTTCTTTTCAGTTTAGTTCAGCACACTTCTGTTCATTTCAATCCAGTTCAGTTGAATCTAGCTCAGTATATTTCAGTCCAGTTTGATTCAGTTAAATTCCATGAAATTTATTTAGCTTTTCAATTGAGTTCAGTACAATTCGATTCTATTTATTTTATACCAGTTCAATATAGTTTATATCAGGTCAGTTAGATTCAGTTAATTCCAGGAAATATTTTTTTCTTTTGAATCGAGTTCAGTACAACAATTCTATTCAATTATGTTCATTTCAATCCAGTTCAGTACAATTTAGACCAGGTCAGTTCAGTTGAATCTAGCTCAGTGTCTTTCAGTCCAGTTTGATTCAGTTAATTTCCATAAAATGCATTTGTTAATTTCTATTGAGTTCAGTACAATTCTATTATTATTATTTTCCATTTCAATCCAGTTCAGAACAATTTCAGCCCAGTTTGATTCAGTTCAATTCCATGAAATTTATTTAGCTTTTCAATTGAGTTCAGTACAATTCAATTCTATTCATTTTATACCAGTTCAATATAGTTTATATCAGGTCAGTTTAATCTATCTCCGTATTTTTAAGTTCAGTTTGATTCAGTTAAATTCCAGGAAATATATTTTTTTCTTTTGAATCGAGTTCAGCACAATTCTATTCAATTATGTTCATTTCAATCCAGTTCAGTACAATTTAGACCAGGTCAGTTCAGTTGAATCTAGCTCAGTGTCTTTCAGTCCAGTTTGATTCAGTTAAATTCCATAAAATGCATTTGTTAATTTCTATTGAGTTCAGTACAATTCTATTATTATTATTTTCCATTTATTTTCCATATTTTACATAGAATCCAGTTCAGAACAATTTCAGCCCAGTTTGATTCAGTTCAATTCCAGGAAATACATTTGTTATTTTCAATTGAGTCCAGTACAATTCTGTTAAATTCAATTCATTTCAATCCAGATCAATATTGGTCAGTTCAGTTAAGTCTAGCACAGTTAAATTCCAGGAAATGCATTTGTTCTTTTGAATTGAGTTCAGTACAATTTTTCAGTACAATTCAGTTACACAAAATGCATTTGTTATTTTCGATTGAGTTTGGTACAATTCTATTAAATTCCGTTCATGTCAATCCAGTTCAATATAGTTTAGTTGTGGGCAATTCAGTTCAGTATAGCGCAGTAATTTTCAGTCCAGTTTGATTTAGTCAAATTTCAGGAAATACATTTATTTTCAATTTAGTTCAGTACAATTCAGTTAAATTATTTCATTTCAGTCCAGGAAAATACAATTCCAGTCCAGTTTGATTAAGTTAAATTCCATGAAATCCATTTGTTCTTTTCAATTGAGTTCAGACCAATTCTGTTCATTTCAGTCCAGGTCAGTAATATAGTTCAGAAAAGCTCAGTATTTTTCAGTCCAGTTTGATTCAGTTAAATTCCAAAAAATGCATTTGTTCTTTTAATTTCAATTCTATTTAGTTCAGTTTATTTCAATAAAGTTTAGTTCAAGTCAGTTCAGTTTCTTTCAGTCCAGTTTGGTTCAATCCAATTGAACAAAATGCATTTCTGTTAATTTCAGATCAGTCAGTCCATTTAAATATAATTAAGTTAAATTCAGTCAATTCAACTTGCTAGTAACTAGCTCAATATATTTCAGTCCAGTTTGATTCAGTTAAATTCCATGAAATTCATTAGCTTTTCAATTGAGTTCAGTACAATTATATTCTATCCATTTTAACCCAGTTCAGTATAGTTTAGATCAGGTCAGTTGAGTCTAACTCTGTATTTTTCAATCTAGGTCAAACAAATGTATTCTGGTCAGTTCAGTTGAATCTAACTCAGTGTCTTTCAGTCCAATTAGAATAAATAATAATTTAATCCATTAAATAATCCATTAAAAGCATTCAATTTTTATAGCGCGGCCATAGGTGGCGCTATAACTGTCAAAAACGTCAAAAACCTATTGTAATTGCTATTTGGGGAAAAAAAATCCCCTAAAATGCATCGTGCAGCCCAAACCGTAAGGCCTAGAGACTTGAAACTCGGCCAGATGGTAGGCCACACTTTTGGGGAGAACCTATCAGAGTATGACCCCGATTTGGCCCATAGGTGGCGCTACAGCAACCAAAAGTACTAAATTGCTCATAACTCCTAGACCGTTGGTCCTAGTATATGTATATCTCCAATTTCGATTTAGGCAAGAAAAATTTTCCGCTATGTCGAATTTTGTCCAAAACCTACTTTTTCGCCCGATCGGAACCAAACCAGTCTAGGCCTATTCTCTGGACTCTCTAGATCAATAATAATCGGGAAAAAAATTGAAATTTTGCAATTGGGTGGCTGTAACAGGGTCATTTAGAAAAGGGGCGTGGCAAAATACAGTCAAAAGCCTATAAATCATAAATAAAAGCTCAGAACTTCACAAAAATTGATGAGCATATGTGTCATAACATCTTTAACAAGCATGCAAAGTTTCATGGAGATCGGACCATAGGTGGCGCTATAACTGTTAAAAAGCTTTAAAACCATATATTTCCTATGGTAAATTGCCTGAATTGGCTGTAAATGGTCTTTTCCATCTATTATGTCATGCTATCATGCTATGTCATATTATGTATGCTTGAACTCCACTAAATGTTGCTTGCAGCTTTAATTTCAATTGCATTCAGTTTGTGTGTCACGGCACAAGTACAGCAAAACGTTAACAGTAACAGTTTTTTATTTGATTTATTAGACAACAAAACGTGAAATACACTCATTTGTCAAGGATCACAATAAAGTTAAAAAGTTGTTTCCATTGCGGCCCTCGATGTAAAGCACAAACTTCACTCATAGTGACAGGTTACTTTGGCATTGCATACTATTATAAATACAAAGCTACAATAGGTTTCCACATTTGCAAAGTTTACAATCACAATTAAACATCCACTAATACAAATTCATCACTCTAACAACCAACTTTTAACATTCATTCGCACTAAAACCCACCATATTAGAAATACCTTAGATATCAAGAGGCAACGGATTCCACAATTGAGCCCTCAAAAGACCTATGGCCATAGTTTTAATACGATATAATGTAATATCCATAAGACTTTGCCTAGTATTATTAAGATGTCTCTCACTTACCCTAGAGAAATATGTGTTAAGATAGGATCTCTTGTCTTGATGTTTGCTGTGTGTAGAGGGAAAGAGCCCCTGCAGGACAGCATCATCTCCACCTACGAGGAGCACGAGGACAGTGTGTATGCGGTGGAGTGGTCCGCTGCGGACCCCTGGCTGTTCGCCTCGCTCAGCTACGACGGCCGGCTGGTGATTAACAGAGTTCCCCGAGCCCTTAAATACCGAATCCTGCTGTAGAGCAGGTGAAAACAGGGACGTTCTTCATACTATTCAACAGTGAGTGTGTGTAAGAGATAACAGCAAGACGTTTTGGTAACACTTTACAATATGGTTCATTAGTTAACAACCTTAGTGAATGAACGATACGTCTACAGCATTAATTCATCTTAGTTCATATTAATTTCAACATTTACTAATGTTATTAAAATCAAAGGCTGTATTTGTTAACATTAGTTAATGCACTGTGAACTAACATGAACAAACAATGAACAGCTGTATTTTTATTAACTTACATTTACAAAGATGAATAAATACTGTAACAGATGTTTTGCTCATTGTTAGTTTATACATGAACTAATGTAGTAGCAGTTAAAATGTTAATGTAGTGCTAGTCATTTGTCCTGCATTGGTTATTGATTAGTTTTGCATGAATTATGAAACTTTTTCAGTAGTTCTCTGGGAAGCATTAAAAAAATAGTAGTTATTGATTAGTTAATAGTGAAGTAGCACTTTCATCTGTGTGCTATTACTTACTAGTTCGTTAATCAGAGTTTCTTGTTAGTTAAAGGGATAGTTCACTTTGAAATTAATTTTTGGTATGTTTTAGCTTACCTCAAGGGCATCCAAAATGTTGGTGTCTTTGTTTCCGCAGTATTTTCAATTTTGATATTTTTAGGTCAAACCGTTCTTGTCTGTCAGTCATATAATGCAGGTCTATGGTCACCACCTCAAAGAGCAGCACAGAGAAGTCCAAATTAAACATGATTTAATGACTTGTAGATGTAAGTACACATTGATGGCCTAAGACACGAAACGAGCGGTTTGTGTGAGAAAACGAACAGTATTTATATCGTTTTTACCTCTTGTAACCACAGCCACGTCCAAGTGATCTGAGGGCGCGGGCGCTTCGGTCTTTTCCGGAAAGCGCCGGAAGTGATCTCTCGCGCGTGTACGTCACTCATTGTTTACACAGAGCAGAGATTGTAGGTAAGACGGCTAATTAAAAGGGTACTAATTTGCACTTATCCGGGATGTTTAAACCGTCGTAAAAGAAAACAATTAACAAAAATAAAACAATTGTATGAGTGACGTACACGAGCGAGAGATCACTTCCGGCGCTTTCCGGGAAAAGACCGAAGCGCCGGCGCCCTCAGATCACTTGGACGTGGCTGTGTTTACAAGAGGTAAAAACGATATAAATACTGTTTGTTTTCTCACACAAACCGCTCGTTTCGTGTCTTAGGCCATCAATGAGTACTTACATTTACGAGTCATTAAATCATGTTTAATTTGGACTTCTCTGTGCATGCTCTTTGAGGTGGTGACCATAGACCTGCATTATATGACTGACAGACAAGAACGGTTTGACCTAAAAATATCAAAATTGAAAATACTGCTGAAACAAAGACACCTACATCTTGGATGCCCTTGAGGTAAGCTAAAACATACCAAAAATTAATTTCAAAGTGAACTATCCCTTTAATAATAGTTACTAGATTGTTAATATTGTGTTACTCATTGGTTCTTGTGTAGTTATTCACAGGGGCGGCCTTACCTATGTTTCAAACAGGCCCCGCCCTCCAAGGGGAGCCCCAACAGACCAGCAAAATCCCATTCAATTTCTTCCGTAGGATATTGATTTTCAGCCATAATGTCTAAACCATTCCAGGTAGATTGACTACGAGGTTGTGAAACAAAAGTTTCTGCTCCTATAAAAGCCACAAGGTATGAAATCAACCTTGTTATTCGCGATCTTCTGGAGAAATACTACACTACCCACAATTCTAAGCAAAACACTGACGTCTCTGATTGGTCGAACTCGCGGTTACCATGGCGACGTTTACCGCCCCCGCAAACGGCTTGGATCTGAAGTATAATATTTTTAGTTTATGTATTTATACCTTTGCCTTTTTTGCCATTAGGGTAAAATGTTATTTTGAGCAGGAAAAGAATTTTAAGAGGAAATGAAACGTACATACCGTAATTCCTCAAATAAAGACCGGTATTCAAATAAACGCCGGGCCTCTGATAGTGGCCGGGGGCGTGGTCAGCGCGGACAAATAAAGGCCGGTCTCAAATTAAGGCCGGGGAAAAAATAGTGTGAATAGGTACACTTTAAATGAGTGTACACTCAAAGACGGACGCGCTCAGCGCTTGTCATATATCACAACTATTCAGTGTTTTTAACCACATGTTTATTTTAGGTTTCAGACATTTAAATAGATATGATTTATAGCAAAACAATAAATTTATAGTTTGTAAAATACACAATGGTGTCTATGGAAGCAGCAATAACAATCCATTCAAATATATTTGGCGACGTGTTTTTTATTCATATCAGATACACAGTGTAAGTAACTATAAAGTTTACTCTATTCTTCTCCCAGTTCACCGGCCACTTACTTTCATGTATTTCGGGAGAAACGGAAGAATTCACGCGCTGTAACTTAACAAATACAACAGGAATCTCCGAACTGCGGTGCCCATCTCACGTTACAGATCAAGATAATTTATAAAGGGTTTTAAACGACAAAACAAACTCACTTACACGGATTTGAGAGTCAGAATAGAAGATAGTTGATGACATGGTAAGCAAGTTTGTTAATATTTAGAAATAAAAGCGCTACATCTGTCATACAGCGCTATTTTGGCTGTGGTGAACACGTGCCAAGCATGACGCGTCACCATGGAAACTTGGCTGGCGGGCGGGCGGGGATCGCGAATTAGAAATAAAGGCCTGCCTCTAATAAAAGCCTGCTTCAAATAAAAGCCGGCTACCATCTGCAGTTCAGGTAAATAAAGGCCCCGGCCTTTATTTGAGGAATTACGGTATGCCAGTGGTGCTGAAAAACAAAAGATATATCGGACAACAAAAGAAAAGCTTCGGTCTACCAAAAGTGAAGTTACCCTGCGTGAAACGGCGAGGCTTATTCCAACGTAAAACGCTGTATAATTGTATATAGTTTTAATCAAATAAGGTTGGATTATTTCTATGTGGAGCTGCCTGTTCATGAAGCTGAAAGTGCACGTAATAAAATAATATACCATTGATGCAAACCAACAGGAATCCTTGCTTTTTCTGCTCTATTATGTTTATGTTTTATGTGGGTAGGGCCCCATATTAGTTATTGAAACGGGCCCCCAGATGCTTAAGGCCGCCACTGGTTATTCATTAACGAAGGAACCGTATTCTAAAGTTAACTAATGAACCTAATTGTAAAGTGTTACTGACGTTTTTTCTCTTTCTTTCCCTAGAATGAACTCACATTCCCAGCTTCTGCGCGAGTGGAATCCTGCTTTGACTTCGCACTGGACTGTCTGAGTAAAATACCGACAGATGTTGCTCTTTGCTGTATATTTGTGTCATGATTTCTATACACCTGATGATGTATTGGGCTGGTTTACCGTGAATTAGTTATGAATATGAATGCAGATATCGGTGTTTGTGCGTGTGCTGTTTGGTGCTGTGGGAAATCAGAACCTTGGAGATTAATTATGATTATGTGTCTTATCATGTACGCTGCAACAAAAGCAATGCTCTGTGGAGCTGTCAGAGAGAGCCTAATTACCCCTGTATGTTTCCCATAAAACAGCTTTAATTAAAGAGCAAGATTTGATGTCCTTCTCTCGTTCTTATCGGCGTGAGCGTTGGTTAAAGCTCCTCCAGTGACAGCCTGTTTTAATTGCAGCCTGACTCTCCACATCTCGAGCTGTCAAGGGAGGGCCCCGGTCCGATCCGTCAATACCAGGGCCGGGGAACGAGTCTCTGAATGCATAATGTCAGGCCGGATCCTTTACGAACCGCCGTCTGTTGGCAGGGATGCTGGGAGGTTAAATGGGTTTGGAGTTTAGGGATTTTCACACTCTCGCTCTGAATGGGTCTGTCACAAGCCCTGCTGCCTCTGTTCTTTTGTGGACGTGTCGGACGTTAGTGCTCATGGAGAGATTCGACTGTCCCGCCTGAAAGGTTGAATGTGTGTGATGCGTTCTCATCCTCCTGGAAAGTTCATATTTACAAGTTCAAAAATCCTAATAGAGCACAACTGTCAAGTTCTGGAAGTCAAATCTCATTCATTTTCCACATACAGGATGAAAAACATTTAAACACAGACCAGCTGTGTGCTATGAGATCATTCAGCGATGATATAGCATACGGTACACGTCTGAATTTATGAATTGCAGAATTCCGGGTGAAGAACTACATTACCCATAATCCCAAAGAGAAAATTTGAACATGCTATATAAAAATATCTGTGGGGTATTTTGAGCTAATACTTCATATACACACTCTGGGGACCTCAGAGACTTAATTTACATCTTGTGTAAAGGGCATTATACCACCCCTTTAACTAAATAATAGAAACTGTAACACAAAACACCCTAATGTACATTAAACAAAATTATTAAAATAAAATAAAATCATACTGAATGGGGTGTCATGCAGGGACTTCTGGGAGTATTCTTTTACTGTGTTTCATGAAAATTAAATGGTAATTCATAGTTTTTACATGCAAAAACCCTACATTTTACAGTATAATGTCTTGCTAAATCATTTACAGTTTACAATACTGTCACAGTTATTTGGACTTCGTTTCACTTTCATGGAAAACCCCATTCGTGATCATCAGTCACGTGTCTCTCAGTTTCCCGCCACTCATCAGTTTCCATGGACACTAATCCTCCAGCACAGCTCATCGTTTAGTTGGTTATCTCTGTGTATTGAGTTCCTCTGTGTTCAGTCGTTGGTTTTTCGGTTGATGTTCGTGTATTGTAGTGTCTATAGGCCTATTGCCCATCTACCTTTTCTGGCGAAGGTCCTGGAACGAGTTGTAGTTGGCGAGCTACAGCAATACCTGTCCATGAACAATCTCCTAGAACCATTCAGATCAGGTCAAAGTACTGACACTGCTCTTGTCCGGGTCACAAATGATCTTCTCATTTCTGCTGATGTAGTATTTCAGTCTTGTTAGACATCACTGCTGCTTTTGGCACAATATCTCATGCTGTCCTTCTAGACTGATTGTCTGTATGGCTAGGAATCTCTGGTACTGCGTTTGAATGGTTTACATCCTAACTCACTAATCGATTCCAGTTTGTGTCTTTGGGTAAAAACAAATCTATACCTACACTAGTTCAGCAGGGTGTCCCACAAGGGTCTGTGCTGGGTCCCATCTTATTTAGCATTTATATGTTGCTTTTGGGTGGCATCATTCGTAAGTTTGGGTTAGGGTTTCATTGTTATGCTGACGATACGCAATCCAAACCTTGCAGTTACTGCTCTTCCCACCTGCTTGGATGAGATAAAAGCCTGGATGCATGACAACTTTCTTAAGCTTAACGAATCAAAAACAGAACGCCAACAGCTTTTACTTAAACTTAACAGTTCAAATTTGATTACTGGCCATGACTTTGTTACTCCATCCTCTCAAGTGCGCAATCTTGGCGTTATCTTTGACCCAGAACTGATGTTCGATGCCCATATTAAAATGATATCAAAAACTGCATTTTTCCATCTTAGAAATATCGCTAGACGACCGTTTTTATCGCTCCTAGATGCAGAAAGGCTTATTCACGCCTTTATTACGTCGAGGCTTGATTACTGCAATGCACTCTATGCTGGTCTCCCAAATCGATCCATCAAAAAACTACAATATATTCAAAATTCATTGACACAGACAACTGCTCGACAACATATTTCCCCGGTACTCCATGACTTGCATTGGCTGCCTATACAAGCACGTATCGAATTCAAAACACTGGTTTTAAAAGTCTTTGAGTTTTTGCAGAACCCCCTCTGGCAACAAGCGAAACTGCAACCAATTCTGATTCTACATGTATCTAGCTTACGCTAAAGCATTACACATTTTACGCATCGTCATTTGTTGTCATACATAGATTGGCCGTATCAAATATTAGAGACTGGGCTATATCTTACCGTTTTATCAAGAAAAAAGCCAACTGAGGATCCCGTTTGAGACCAAGAGCAGACCGGAGATCTCTCCATTTGTTAAATGCCTTCCAGAGGTTGACTCTCGTCTTACTCCGACGCCTGTCTGACTCCAATTTGGACCTTTTGGTGGCACTAGACAAAATTTTTCTTTTCTTTACTTTACGTGGAGTTTGCGTTGGGGTTTGGAATGGACTACAAGCCGGTCTCTTTGAATCCATCTTCTACCTTTGACGCACGAGTTGTCTTCGCTGATGCGGAGAATGGCGGCGCCGGCGAATACACAAACCTGCGAGACATAGCCTGGTGAACGCGCATGACGTCACGCCCAGTCTCAAATTCGAGCCCGAATCCCTCTTATATATTTTACTGTACAGGATTATAGAGGCAATCTCAGTAAGCAGAGAAGGGCTCATTCAGCCCATCAGGCAGTTCTTTAAGCATGTATAGGATAGAAAAACAGGTATTTTTAACATGAAAAGTTGCGCAATACACCTTTAACGTATAAAGCGATTCATGGGTACTATCTCTGCAGTTTAGTTACCTCTCACACTCCATCTCGCTCTCTGCGCTCTTCTAGGTCATGCATCCTTCAGCAGCCTCCATATAAATCAAGGTCAATGGGTGGTCGAGCATTTACGGTCCCAGCACCGCGTCTATGGACTGCTCCACCATCGGGAATTAGAGACTCTCCAACATTGGACTGGTTTAAGAAGTCTTTAAAGATGCTGCTTATTGCAAATGAATGTGTTTGTTTTATTGTATCTTATTGTTGTTATTCTTTTTTGTATATTGTAGTGCTTTGAGTCTAAGAAAAGTGCGTTAGAAATACACACTGTTACTCCTGCCTTCGTGTAATTAAAAAACCTGTTTATAATTGATAACCTCATCTTCAGTCCTTCTTCCTCATCGACAAATACATTTACACAGTATATTAACAAAATATATTAAAAATTATTTAAATATATATTAAAATATGTTTTTTACTTTAGCAAATACAATTTGATACAGCAATGGTTCATAGGATGAGTAGTTTATTCACACATAGAGGAGATATACTTTCATTCTTCAGTTCAAACTAAGATTTTGTGAAAAATGATGCATCCCTGTGAGTTGGTGCCCAAATGCTAATGCACCAAAAAGCACATCCAGTCATCGTGAGGATAATCCATACGACGCCAGTGGATGAATGCGTGTCTTCTGAAACCAAACGATAGGTGTGTGTTCGAAAAATACTCATTTATAAACCAAAATGAACTGGAAAAGTATTCAGTGGCTCTGTTCTCTGAGCAACACACACTGCAGCTCAGATCTCAATACACACCAGTACAGCGACTGCCATCCATCTGTGTGTTATTGTTCTGTGATATAATCATTCGAGTGCTATCTCAGTCTGTTTGGATCTCTCGTGTGTTTCCAGTGGTTTATATTTGTGTCTGTCGTATTTAAATACTGTTAAATCTATTGAATACATTCAATATTAAAACCACGGGGTCACTGCAGTTCCCAGAGGGCCTAGCCAAAAATGGATTCAGCTGCTCGCAAATGAATGAAATGAAATTAGATTTGATTTAATAATTTATTTCTGTCTCTTGTGAAGGAGAGCGGCCCTTGGGGAGCCCAGGTGATGATTACCTTCACAAGAGCTCTGATTAGCATTCACAATAAACCCCAGCAAATGAAACCAACCCATAAACAGAGGGAACGATCGGAGGGATGGAAAAGGACTGGTTGGGAATGAGCAATCGGAGGCTATTGGGATGGCCTTGGGAGTGTTTCTGAACTCAATGTTTCTGTATTTGTGGAAAGCTCATGGGGAAGATTCTTTCATATAACTCTGGCTGCTTTTCTCAGCTTACGTCTCCTTTTCAGATCATTTGCATTTCACAAGCGTTGAATGTGTTTGAATCCATTGCACAAGTTGACACGTGTCCTAGTGTGTTTGGATAATGGTTCTGGCTGAATTTATTTGATCAAAAATACAGTATTATTGTGAAATATTATTACAATTTAAAGTAACTTTTTTATTTTAATATATTTTAAAATGTCATTTATTTCTGTGATGCAAAGCTGAATTTTCTGCATCGCAATTATGAGAAATAAAGTCGCAATTGCGAGAAAAAAAGACAGAATTTTCTTTTTATCTCACAATTCTGACTCTTTTTTTCTCACAATTGCGAGTTTATATCTCGAAATTCTGACTTTATAACACTAAATTGTGACTTTATATCAAGCAATTCTGACTTTACGACACGCAATTGCGACTTTATATCACGCAATTGTGACTATAACACGCAATTGTGACTTTATATCACGCAATTCTGACTTTACAACACGCAATTGCGACTTTATTTCACGCAATTCTGACTTTATATCACGCAATTCTGACTTTATAACACGCAATTGCAACTTTATTTCACGCAATTCTGACTTTACAACACGCAATTGCGACTTTATTTCACGCAATTCTGACTTTATAACACGCAATTGCGACTTTATAACACGCAATTGCGACTTTATTTCAATAAATTCTGACTTTATATCACGCAATTCTGACTTTATAACCTGCAATTGCGACTTTATATCAATAAATTCTGACTTTATATCTCGCAATTCTGACTTTATAACACGCAATTGCGACTTTATTTCACGCAATTCTGACTTTATATC